TTCACATACCAGAAAAACTTTATCTGAAAAAAAAATATGTAGTCATAGTTTAGTTTGTCAATATTTCTTCACGGTGTGATAAAGCAAAATGTATCACTATTAAATAAAACCAAAAAAACATGCATTTATATATATTTTTTCAAAAAATTTGTTCAAGACTTGCAGTAAATAGAAAATTATTTCCATTTGATCCAAAGTTGACAGAAATTATAGAAAAATATAGAAAAATCCACAAAATATTTTAAAACATTTTGGAAGGGGAAATTAATTCATACACTCAAAGGGTCAAAGAAGATTGGATTAGTGGTGAGCAGAATTTTGTTTATCAAATTAGATAAAGAGTTGAAATTGACGTAAAAGTTGAACCAAATTGTCTTTGAAATAGATTAAGGGTAAAGTATTTGTATTCAATAGTTTTCACTTTCACAATGCATCAACACTTTGTTTAAATTTTCTATTGTCAATATACCAGTAGACGTATTTGCATGCAACTAACTGACTATTCTTCCCACCCTATCTATTTCAAAGTGTTGTCCCTTATCTGTTTCAAGGGGAAACTTTGCTCACTATTTACCAACAGGTTAAAGTTCAAACTAGCAAAACATGTGACTTAAACTCCGCCCTCTTTAAGGCAGCACAATCACAATGTGACCTAGTTGTGATAACAATAACACTGCCTATACCGTTTTCCTAACAGCACTGCGCGGTTATTGCCAAAATGTTTACTGTTGTTCTCAGTGTTGTTTTACTCACCTTGCCAAATGGTTTTCTATCATGTAACAATAGAAGGAATGATATAAATCTTGTGGAACTCTTGCATAATAAGTTTATAAATGACTCCGGGATAGACAACTTGTACGAGTACACAAATTCTACCTGGGTGCAATCCCTGACAGGGCTCTACAATGAGAGTAAAGTATCGAGTTGTTGGACAGAAGTACGTCGTAGTCTAAATAATAAAGATCTATCAGTTAATGTAGATCCAGAAGTTTATATGAACGTGGTAAGTTATTTTAACAATATATATATCACCCTAATTTTGTGATAGACTTATGATATAAATCTCCACCTTTACAATGGTGCCCTAGCTGCAATCCAGCTAATTGGACTGAATTGTTTGAAAAATTAAAATATTTTTTAAGTGAAATTAAAATTTTCAAGTAGTTGATCAGAGTTTTTAATCAAAAAATATGAAACAAAAGTTTCAATGGTCTACCTAAATATAAATCATGTTTGACAACCTTTTAATAAATATGTCATAAATGGTAATGCACTGATAATAATCTATCATATTTCCTCAATTAGAAGCATATCTCCAGTAGCACAGAATGTTTTACTTTGACCATATAGACTTGCCTCTGTTGTTTACAAGACATGTGCCTTTGGAATTGTACTGTTGGCAAAACTTAGTTGAAAGCCCTTTTAATTTTGAATAACTTGGCCAAAAATCAAATCAAATTGTCTTCACTATGATAAATTTCGACTTAAATTAAAATTGCTGTTTGAGTTCTACTTCAGGTTTGCACTTAAACAAAACAAAACTAAGTACGCAATGTTCGAAGTTTGTCAGAATGCAGTGGCAACATGAGTAAAATAGTCATTCTATAAATTTAAAACGGCGAGACTTGATGGGTATTCAAGAAACAACTTAAAGGCCCAGGTATACTATAAATACGCTCCTAAACAATAGGGATTATTTCCTTGCTTGTCACGCTGTAGTAAACAGCTGCAGCCAAGTTCCGGTAAAAACGTGTTTTCTCGAACTTACAGGTCGATTATGTCGTGCCAAAGTGGATGCATGTGACTATGAATATCACAGCAGTGACTGTGTGTAATATTTATGACAATAAATTGTGTACGAGCTGAGATTGTGGCGGATAAAAGTAAAAAACATGAACCGGGGAAAAGGATGCGCGACTAATCTTGAATAATTACTACTGTCAATCAAAGTCACATGATGTTGGACCACTGAAACTGGATGTGTCATAGGCTATGCAAGTGATTAACACCATGCATTAGAATAGCCACACCTCCAATTCACACTTGCCCAGGGCAAGTGAATTGGGCCTTTAAGGTTTGTTGTGCATCTCCAATTAATCTTAAAAAGGCTTCACATCAAATATTTATTTTGTTATATACTCCATCTCCGATCGTCGAACAGAGAACCTGCGTCTCATTTGGGAACTTAATTGATGGCACTCACAGATGCTAAAAACTCAATCACAACGAATTTACAGCAATTAAAATAAAAAAAGTCAAGTTTATGTTAGTTATGAACTCTTGTGAAGAGATCCACAATAAGTTCTATCACACTAATAAACTTGTTTTATACATGCACGGTTACATAATAAAAAACAATGGGAAGAATTGAATTTTAACACATTTACATACATGTATATGCATATGTACCAAAATGCATAAATTTGCTTATAGACTAGAATAGAATAGAATAGAATAGAATAGAATAGAATAGAATAGAATAGAATAGAATAGAATAGAATTATGCTTTATTACATCCTTAATGAAATCTGACATTTCAGTTTTGGTAATTGCTGCATTAAAGCTTTTTAAAATAAACTACAATTAAACTACACATACAATACATTAATAGATTTCAAATAAACAGCTTATTTAGTAACACATGAGATATTTTAATTTAATGTTCAAGCTTACATTTTGATCAATTAGATGTGCTTGTAAACAAT